CTGCTGCTGCTGCTGTGCTGTACGGCCGGTTGCCTTGCCGCAAGTCACCACCGCTGCATGCATGACAAGATAAGTGAGCTGAATAAGCCGGTGACGGTTGTGCGGGAAATACCCCGCAAGGGGCAGGGCGCCGTGCAGGCATACACCGCCAATGCTGCCGAGAACTCTAATATCTTCGGTGATAACAAGAACTGGGTGCCGATCCGCATCAAGGCGTTCACGAGGGACCTTAACGACCCGTCAAAGTATTGCACTGTTGCTGGAGAAGAACGTTACGATCAGACCTACACTAAATTATACTGCCGTGCCAATGGCGTGTTGACGGTGAGGAAGAAGAGGATTATTGAAGAGCAGCTTATTCCCGAGGCAATTAAAATGCACACTGAGCGTATTTTTGTGGTCCGGGAGACGGGCATTGTTAAGGTACCAAGTATGGAGCATACGTATTGCAGCCACTACACCATCCCTGAGGAGCACCACACAATTGGGCTTCAGGATGCTGAATTGTATTTTTACGTCAGTGCATTGCAGACCGACCGTGCAATGGCGTGGGGGGCGTATTGCGCCTGTACAGACGATGGGCGGCCCATTGTTGGTTCCTTGAACCTGAATCCCACTTACGTGGAAGCTACAGATGCCGCCGTTCGCACGGTGGCGCACGAAATCGCGCACCTTCTTGGTTTTGATTATTATATGTTTTTGAAGTTGGGAATTGTAGATACCGGTGTAACTTTGCGGCAAAGAAAAGTGGCGGTCATAAATACTACGCAGTCGAAGAAAGTGGCGAGTGAACATTATGGCTGCCCCAATGCCACTGGAGTAGAACTGGAGTCCACGAGTAGTTGTGGGACAGCCCGATCACACCTTGAGTTTCGGAATGCGAAGGATGAAATGATGGCGCCTTCATCCAAAGCAAGCTACTACACCAAACTGACACTTGGAATATTCGAAAGCATGCCATTTTACAAGGTAAATTACAGTATGGCAGAGCCGATGAAATGGGGCAACAACTCCGGTTGCGGTTTTCTGGAGAAGAAGTGCTTAAC